TAGAGGGCGAACTCAGTTAAATAACCACTGAATTCCTCAACACCAGTTTGAACAATATTGCAGACGCAACCAAGGCTAATGCAAGTCTTCACTTGATATGAAGACAACTTGTTGATATCACCCCAGAATTATTATTAAGGTTGTTTAAGATATATGCACTCCCGAAGTGGACTGAGTCATGTTGGTAGATGTAGGCTACCTGGTTGGGGTCCGCGAGACAATAGTAATCGATGGTTAGAGACCTTGAACGACATGGCTCAAAATCACTTGCAAGGGCGCAGATGCATTCATTTTTTGTGTTCTCTCAAATCCTAATCTTCTGGATTCATCAACACCTTTACCTTTGTCTTTCTAAACTTACCTCACTGAATTATACTTCTTGAATAATATCTTCGAACCCTAATCTTCTCCATTACCAGTAGTAATCCTACTATCAATACCACTATGGGATTTGAATTGACAATTGCATCTCTGTGCTAATGTGGTGTGTCAACATGAACTGATGTATTTAATTACGAAGTTCTAAGTTGCAAATGACTGACAAACTGACAGAGACACAAATCTCTTCGATCAAAAGCAGTGATGAGCAACGAAACGGTTGATAGCGTTGAAAAATAGAACTTTAGACAACAGACTCCAGAACTTTGAAGTATTCTTCCTGAGCTACAGAAGAATCAGAAGTGATCTGTTTTTGGTGTACAACATACACAGCACGCCAAACCATCCCAATGTGAGCACCTTACCGATGCATCACCACCACACCCTCGAGGCGACTCTCGAAAAATTATGCATCAAACAGCAAATACTCATGTTCGTGCACACTTGTTCTCATTAAGAGTCGATGCAACTTGGAATGCTCTCCCAGTGGAGGTGACCACAGCACCCTCAGTGGACAGCTTTAAGAAGAGAATTGACAAACACGTACTAACATACCGATTATCTTCTCCCTCGTGAACAAGCTGTGTCTGATGCATATCTTGAGACCTATTATTATTATTATTATTATTATTATTATTATTATTATTATTATTTCCATCTCCTTAGATCACTAACTAAATCTATCTCGCCTATTATCTGTTTCCTCTCCCTTGCTTACACTCCGGTCCTCTCTCACAATCTTCACAACCAATTGGTAAACTAAATTATCTGCATATTACTTGGTTCTGAAATCCTCTTGTTAGCATTAGAAATTTCTCCTTATTATTCTCCACATTGGGGGTAACTGATTGTAGAATTTATTTCGCCGGCGGCTGTCCTAATCGCGTCCAATAGAAACACACCGGTACGATTCTCCTAGATCCACGTCCCAGCCAAATCAGAAAGCCAAAAATTCTAGGAGAAAACCGTCTCTATTGTTATAAAATGGAAATACAGAGGCTTACGATGTTTATGTTTCTTCCAGGACTAAATTACTCCGTAGAGTATCTATTACAATAGCTAGTAAGTGACACTAAGTCCAGCAGCCACCGCGTCTATCCAAAAATGTGGCGGTAGCCATATTATATCAAATTTAAACAATATATGTACAATTCAGAAGCAAACACAAAAACTTCAATATAAGTACAAAATATGGAAAGAATAACAACATACAATGGTAAAATCTCAAATTGGAATCAAATAAAATACCAAAAATGTCAAGAGAAAAAGTCCATCAGGTCATAGCAAAAATATGTAAACATGGAGGGATTTTCCCAAAAACAAAACATTCAAAAAGAATTCTACACCGGCCCGCAAAATCCCTCCATGCAAAAACAGCAAGCGTTAATGACACCTTATTTAGGGTTCCCATGTTATCCCCTAATCCACACCGGAATAACGTGTAGGACTTACAGCAGTACGCCTACCCGCCATCCAACATGGATATGACCTATCGTGTTAACTAGGTTCCTATACTTTCCCATCAGGCCCTTGATTCCCCTATCTATCGTGGAATGACCTAACGGTAGTATAAACCTTACCCAATTAACCCATACGAACATGAACAACGCGTCGCAAAACTGGTCATATCCTATCCAAGGACTACATTCTCTATCATGGGGACGAGTCGCCAATCCACCACCACTTGCTCTGATCAGCAGATACCATGAAGTCCGTGATGCTAACTTATCAACAGAAGTTTTTGACCCATAAATAATATGCAAGGGTGGGATTTCCAATTTTGACATTTCATCGTCTCCAGAAGACCTTAAGTAGCATGACGTAGGATCAATATTTATCCTTCCATCTCCTGATGCAGAGGAGGTTTGAACAGTGTTCATCATCGTCGGTAACTCATTTGTCACATCAGTGACATCCAGTTTATTATCAACGTCTAAATGATTCCGTTCTACATTAGCATCCGTTTCCGCGGCACAAGACATATGCTCAACAATAGCATCGTCATCACACAGCACTGTAGACTGGCTGTTACCATCAAACATTTTCTTCTCATCATCACTCGACTGACGGTCAACCGTAATAGGAACAGTTACAGTTGCACAACCTTGTGCATCTTCAATCAACTTAACCTTCGTGACGAGGTCCGATGGCGTCGAAACACTAGGAGGCTCACTCGATGAAGTCGATAAACTAGTCCCTATAAGTGGACTGCTGACACTTTCTATATCCTTATTATCACTGTCACTATTGAGGTTCTGATGGCTACTATTTCCATAGCTAGTCGTAGCATCCGAAAGAGCATGAGGTTCAGGCTTCTTAGTAATAGTAGCATCATGTCTCCTAGGCTTCTTAGCCGTTACTGTACCACCATCACTTATCCTAGAATCTACTCTAGGTCCAGTTATATAATTTACCCTAACTGAAGGGTTCCGAAAATAAGCTTTATTCCGTTCAGTCAATCCTGCCTGGGCTTTATTCATATTTGCTGAACTCACTAACCTCTGATTACTCGAATCCAAATTACCGTTCCAGGCTTTTCGAGCAGCTAAGAGGCTTTTATCATCACACACTTCGGATCCATCTTGATGCCTGCAGTTTTCATCCTTTTTCTTTCTTTTCTACACATAGAAAAGCCATCTTATCTGTTACACAAACCGGCTTCTTGCTAGGACACGCATCAAGAGAATTTACATCGTTACGGTCACGTACTCGTCCTTCATCAGGGTATGCTTTCGTGATATAATTGACAAATCGCTTATCTTCCGAGCGTGCTTTAGGTAGAAACGAAAAATCCGAATGTCTCGCACGCAGACCACTAGTAGCTTCCGTATTATTTCCTGTTTTAGCCTGATAAGCTAATCTTCCAAACCTACTACTAGCTATCTTAGCACGAGACATAATAAATTCCGTCAATTCGTTAAAATTGGGCTCTCTCTCCTCTTCGTCCCACTTGAATACTAGCTCTGCCCACTGGGCTTGCATTCGACGAGGTAAGAGCCTTACTATTCGTTCTAAAGTAGTCATAGAGTTAAGTTCAGCTGTACAATTTAACTGTTCTAAAGTTAAAGAAGCATTCTGCATTTTAATGGCCAAGTTCGTCAATGATTCAGGATCATTAAATTCGACATTCCCAGTTCTAAATAAGTCCTCTAAGGTTTCTCGCGCTATCACATGTGACTGCCCAAAAAGCTGTTTTAAAATAACCTTAGCTCTCTTATATCCTGCCTGTGGGTCCATTATAAGACAGCCTTCGATCGCATTTTTAGCTTTTCCCTTACAATAATGAATTAAATACAATAAACGCACTTGATCATCCTTGATTCGAGGTTCTATAAACGTCTCTATCTGTCGTATGAACTTAAAATAGTCGCGAGACCTTCCATCAAAAAATGAGAGCTCAACCTTAGGTAATTCTAAACCCTCCATCGATGTCTTTCGTATCTGATCGGTCTCTGGTACTTTAGGACTCTCACTTAATCCTGATTCCTTAATGCCTGCCGAGGGTGACTTACAATAATAAATATCAGACATAACATGAGGGTTACCCATAAAAAGGTTATCGTTAACGACTTGCCTAGAGCCCTGTGATCCGTCGAGCTCTTCCACCGTCCTCCTGTTTGCCTTCTTCCTGCTTGACATTATAAATGGGATTCAATACGAAAGGTAACAGATACAAAATAGAATAGTTCCAAAATTCAGTTCAGAATTAAGATAAACGATTAAAATTCCAAATGTTTCCTTGTAATTCTTAATAATCCAAATAGATCCAAATTATATGCGTTCTGGTAAATATTTCCAAGTATAATTCACGCCAGAAGGATAAACATCAGACTGTAGAATTTATTTCGCCGGCGGCTGTCCTAATCGCGTCCAATAGAAACACACCGGTACGATACTCCTAGATCCACGTCCCAGCCAAATCAGAAAGCCAAAAATTCTAGGAGAAAACCGTCTCTATTGTTATAAAATGGAAATACAGAGGCTTACGATGTTTATGTTTCTTCCAGGACTAAATTACTCCGTAGAGTATCTATTACAATAGCTAGTAAGTGACACTAAGTCCAGCAGCCACCGCGTCTATCCAAAAATGTGGCGGTAGCCATATTATATCAAATTTAAACAATATATGTACAATTCAGAAGCAAACACAAAAACTTCAATATAAGTACAAAATATGGAAAGAATAACAACATACAATGGTAAATTCTCAAATTGGAATCAAATAAAATACCAAAAATGTCAAGAGAAAAAGTCCATCAGGTCATGGCAAAAATATGTAAACATGGAGGGATTTTCCCAAAAACAAAACATTCAAAAAGAATTCTACACTGATCTCTGGCCTGGTAATGTGATAGCTGCTTTTATCCAAAAGGCCTACTGACCTGAAACAAACGTTTTCATTCAAATCATGGGACATACAAACTCATAACAAACTGCCTAAAATTAGACAGTCTAGTGGTTACACGTCCATTCATTGGGTACTATCAAACACCTGGAACCGTACCGAAAGAAGAAGAATCGAGCGCGGAGAAATCGATAGGTTTGTACGAGCTCCTATGAACATTATTGGGCATTGAAACTTTCTTGATATTCTGAGCTTCGTTTCTTGGATCGAGGGGCCTATGTTGGAATTCGTATGGTCGAACAGAAATGACGGTAGTTGTTTATGTAATGCTTTGTGTTGCCGAAGGGATCGATTTAAAGACTTTTTCAAATAGACATTTTTAAAAAATAATCGTTGCTTTCAAACTGTTTAACGTGAAGCTATGAGTGACAATCGGGTGTGATACTTGTATTCAGTCGTCTGTAATCACCGTCGAAAGTCAAAGCTTATCGTCCTTTTTAGGTACCGTGTGCATCAGGGATGTCCTTGGACTGCTTGACGTCTGGACAATCCTGAAATATTTTATTTTGTTGAATTCGTTTTCAATAGCTGGTATTCCGGCTTTCGACAATACAGGTGGTCCTGTAGTCTTGACATGATTTATAACATCTCTAATTACATGCGACATTTGGTACAGTTTCAGGTGCCGGTCTAGTATTGGTTAGAAGAATGAGATGATTATGTGTTTAATCCTGACTGGGCATTACCAGCAGCCAGGTAATAGAACTGCACAATCATGAATTAGTATTATCATCCACTAATCTCAGTTTAGTTGGGTCCAAAGTAGATTATGGTATTGTTGTAAGTCTACATCAATGATTGGCATTGACAAGTATGCTACAAATAAAACTTATTGAACGGGCTTTGTAAACCGACGTTAAGGTAAACGTACCTTTGCCGTAGGTGTTTGTTGGTTGCTGATTGACCTGAGTGCCAAGCTTGTAAACGTTTTCTAGTGTTCTTGGTGCACCCCTATCCAGTATTTCCAATTTGTTCCAATCGAATTTATGTTCATACTACTGTCTCCCTCCCCGGAACCCTGACCTACAACTTATCAAGAGGAACGTCAACTGTATTGTCCAGAAGAGCAATGAAAGCTCCGCAATCAAAACATCCAGCTCATAGAACGTAACACGACCACAACACATATAATAATAATAATAACAACTTATTTTCAAATAATAGCATGTTACAGGAGGCATGCCAATTAACGGGCAAGATCAGAATGTTAAGATTGCCAACAAATATTTTGTAAAAAGTTGTTCAGTTACTGAAATATTTAACAACGTACATTGGTTTCATATAGATGGATAGAATTTTTCACGTGAAATTATATATAATTTTCCAGGGGCCGAAACGTACAATGAGAATAATTGGCGCGAGTCACAACAGTCGCGTTACAATGAACTGCTATTGACTGCAAGACAATGCAAGATTCAGCCAGGTATGCATATAACAAGAATTGAGAAGGTAAGTATGATAGGATCTGCTCGATATTCTTCAAATAATAAATTCACAGGCTCCTGGTTAAATCAGCCAAGTCTTCGGTAAATATCCAGACTAATATTTAAGGATTGGAATAAGGTGCTGAAAAAGAGCAATAAAGAGAATGGGGAGATTAGCAGAACAGAAAATATTCATGTTTAAAACCGAACAATGACTCAGCAGATACTTTTTATAATTAGATCACCAACAGTACACCTGCATATGTGTATGTTGATGAAGACAGGTTACTAGTAAGAAAACGAATGGGCAACTAATTGTATGAACAGAGGAAATTCAGAAGAACTGAAATGTTAGCAATAATGTTGATTGACAGAATATAATAATGAGGCATAGTGATCTGATGCTTTTGTGATATTTTATTTATTCTTTTTCTTCTTAACTCTGTAGTTCAAGAAGTCATGTGTGAGGTCTTTTCTAGTATAATTGTCTAGATCTGCTTGTAATAGGTTTTCTTCGTGGAGGTTAAAACTAGTGAGAGGTTACGAATATGAGTCGTAGACGAGGTTTAAAAGGAAAAAGTAACATCAATATTACTGATTTGTTAATTCCTGCTATACCGTAAAGAGCCGTAAACAAACAAAATGTTCTGCTATACAGACATGGATAGAATGAGGTTATTGCTCCACCGTCATGAATGCTGATCAGATACACCATCCTCCCTCCATTTGTAATGTTGGGCTCTCTTACATTTAATAGTAGATTTTAAAAATGTTTTTTAGTCTACTCTTCATTTTTTGTACACCTTGTTGAGATAGACGTTCTCTACCAGCTCCACGTTACAAGCAAATCAGACAACTTTGCCTTCTGTATGTAGGACAGCATATCCACACAGCACACACACACACTTATTTTAAGTAGACCAATGTTATAAGTTGTAAGATATGTGTCAGTTAATAGGTAGTTTGGAGATAGGAAGGGTAGGGAGCTGATGAAAATAGGGTCGAAGTAGTGCTAAAAATTAATGAGTAAGGGATAAATTGGTAAGCAGGCAAGGTAATCGGATGTTAATCAATTGTATATATTAAAATTTATTAAACTGTTAATACTCAAACAAGAAGGAACTCAGAGTGATACAGGGAGTTTGAGTAGCATCTATAGGCTTTTCGATTCATCTGTCTACTGGAAATAAAAACTAAAACTGCTGTGAATATATGAAAATAATAAATTGTAAGATATGTATCAGTTAATAGGTAGTTTGGAGATAAAAAGGGCAGTGAGCCGAAAAAGGAAGAAAGAAAAAAAGGGTTGGAATAGTGTCAAAAATTAGTGAGAAAAGCGATATGTTGGTAAGCGGGCAAGGTGTTTGGATGCTGATGAATTGTGGAAATAAAAATTTATTAAACTGTTAATACTTAAAAAAGAAGGAACTCACAATGATACACGGAGTTTGAGTTCCTTGTAATTGACAGTAATTGATCAGCATCTACAGGCTTTTCGATTCATCTGTCTACTAGAAATAAAAACTAAAACTGCTGTGAATATATGAAAATAATAATTGGGATTTAAATTTAGAGAAAAGTCACGGGTAGCACCTCAAAGGCGTAACCTATTACTGTTAGTAGGAGCAGGGGTATTCATTTATCATTTCCTGATACGTGTATGGATGGTAATGCGGGTACAATATGTTCATAATCTGTTATTAGGTTATAATGTTTATATAAATATCTGGTGGACCGTAAAAGATTGCCTCGGGACTTGATGTGAGTTCCGGGAATAGTTGATAAATCTCTTTAGATTCTAACAACAGCATTACTAGTTTCTTGAACTTGGTGATTGTGTTACAGATACGGATAGTAATTTGTAATCTGTTTCAAAATAGACTGTATCGTATTACAAAGAAATTACAACGCAATGATTTTTTGTCGTTTGCCGTAAATTGTGTATATGCGTCGTTTCTAAGTCAGTAAGCAGTGTTGTGCTTTATCATCTGGCGGTATTTTACGAAAGAGAGACCGTTTTTCAGTCTATAGAGAAGTATAGGTTATTTTTAAACCGACGGCGCCACAGAGGTTCTAGGGAAAGATGTTTGCATCTTTCTATGTAGTCGAGATTATGGCTGTATCCGAGCAGTCGCTGGGTTAAGCTTCTTTGGACATTTTCTACTCGTATCTTGTTCATGGTATTCATGTTTCAGAAGATAATGCGCACAATATATATGTAAACACTTAATGGTACAAAGGAGCACCTAAATATTAGTGTGTCGTACAAACTGTTGAATCTATGTGGTCTGGGATACTGTCCGGACACCCAAACCGAAGCAGCTGGTTTTCCTAGAGCGACACTTTCCGATCCTTTGGTCTACAGATCTAATCCACAAGAAAATAGATCAACTTCAGGAGATTCACTCTCATGGTAGCCTGTCACCGACACTAGGTTCAAACACTGTCTGTTCCTTTAGGACTGTACAGCTCTTGTGCACAATTGGTTTGGGATCAGGGTTTTCCAGTTCCTCTGGTAGGATCCACTTCATCCATCAACCTGGTATAAGACCCCACCGAGCTTTCGCTTTTCGTACTCTCCCACGGGAGGACAGTGATCAGGACTTCCATGAAAGTGGCTGTATATGTAGACTTTACCAACAGAAACATATATGTGCTCATGACTAACTAAAGGACATAAACACACTAATACTACCAGAAGGTAATGGTTTAGTGAAGTAATTTATAGGCTTATTGAGAGATCTAACTTCAACTAATCCGTCGTTGCATACATTATCAATAATCCCATGCTTATCTTGGATTATAATCCCATTTCATGCAATAAATGTAGTCATTTCAGTATTCCCTTATTTAATAACCTGTTTCTTAGAATCATTTATGCCCGAAATTTCTGTCATGGAAATGGAGTTGCTAACCTGAAGAGTATCAAAATAATTTCTTCTCTGCATAACGCTGAGATGAATTACCTTTAAAGAAAATCAGGAAGAAACTAAAAATTTGGATTCTGGTTCTTTCTATGTCTTTAAAATCACTGTTTATGTCTCTCTAAGTCCACAAACGTCAGTTCTGTAAACAAAAGCACTATTTGTAACGGTTGGTCTGTGTGATTTTGCGTCAGCCGGTATTAGATTCTGTTGTGTTTTTGTCCGGTTGGATTCACTTTCCATTGTTTCCATTTATTCCAACAGAGATTTTGTGAAAATGTCTGTAACGTCTATTTACAATTAAATAAGGTTAAGGTCTCAACAGTTATTCCCCGATATACTAGCTATATATGGTTTTTACGGGATCGCTAGTTTGTTGTTATATGAACATTTATGCAACAGCAATGAAAGTGTAAAACATACAAAGCACCCTCACCGCGTCGATCGAAAGTATTGTAAAGAAGGGTTAAAATCTGTCCAATATCCAATGTCTATTTCCAGAGCTCGTACAAACCGCGCGCGCTTCGAATTTGGCGTGTCCTTGCTGACTCTTCTATTTACGCGAAACAATCCACTTTCGTGATACTTTATCACCTCCGAAGCTATAAAAAGTTGTCTCCATTCATTGGCTGACAGTCTGAAAACATTTTCGGGCATACGGAACCATTCCAAGTCATAACCATTGCGTGGTACATCTAGCTACATTATTCAACTGTTCTATTTCTAGTTGCTTCGGCAGTATACATACATCCACTCACTCGCAAACACAGGACTTGTGGACAAGTTACTGGATACACGCAAATTTACTAATACGGTCAAAGGTAAAGTTGTAATTTTGGAGTACTTACAGGCCCTGTTATTTCTAGTTTTATTTTATACTACTAAATTTCTCCTTTCCTAAATCCCTTTTTTGTGTATCTCGTATTCTAATAATCTCGGTATTCACCTCCTAATCTCCTTGGCATGTCAAGTAATAAGGTCGCTAGTACACATTACACTATAACAACCAGGAGAACTTATAGAGGCATAAACCCCGGGGTCGATAGTGCATCGAAAATCCCAATATCGAGCGAACGGGTTGCTAAAAAACCCAAACAGTCAGTCGATAGTACGCCTCTCAGTATCCATACTTTAGATCACTCAACGTAGACACCACAGAGGAAGCAAGACACCACTCCTATTCCTAAAAAGACCAGTAAGCTAGTTAAGAATAGGAGAAAAAGACGCTCCAAGGCTCAGTCGACACATTCCAACGCCCAGAAACAGCATAAGGATGACTGTTTTGCCTGCTCATTATCAGTCAAAATCAGCAACCGTGCTTATGAATGCAACTTCTGTAGTAAATGGGTACATTTTCACTGAGACACTACAGTACCTAAAGAGTACTACGGATTCATACTGAGTCACCCCTGCCCATGGTTCTGGTACATTTGCCCTGGGTGTAGAGTTTATGAGGCACTGACAAAGCCACAGGTCCCACCAAAAATCAGCTCTAAAGTTCAAACGACCAAAATCGCCTGGCACTAAACCAGTAAAACAAGTGACCAAGGCTGCCACCTGTTTAAGACGTACGCGCGCTCACACTTGGAGGTTCACAACGTCATCACACCCCCTCTGCTTAAAAGAGACATAAATCTCTAGGATCGAGTGCAGAGACGAGCAACCAAATGGGTGATAGGGTTGAAAAATAAACCCTACGACGATAGACTCCAGCTCTTGGGATTATTTCCACTAAGCTACAGGAGAATCAGAGGTGATTTGATTATGGCGTACAACATATAAAGCACGCCGAACCATCCCAATGTGATCATCTTACCGATGCATCACCACCCCTCGAGGCAATCCTCGAAAGATTGCACATCAAAGAGCGAATACCCAGATTCGTGCACACTTTTTCTCATTGCGAGTCGTCGCAACTTTGAATGCTCTCCCAGCCGAGGTGACCACAGCCCCCTCAATGGACAGCTTTAAGAAGAGACTTGATAATCACGTACTCACATACGGACTATCATCTCCCTCCTTGACAAGCTGTATCTGATGCATATCTTGAGAACTGCTAGTTGTTACCATTGCCATCTCCTCAGATCACTCAATTAGTCTATCTCGCCTATTATCTCTGTTTCCTCTCCGTTGCCTACACTTCGGTCCTCCCTCACAATCTTCACTACCAATTAATAAACTAAATTCATCTATATATTACTCAGTTCTGAAATTTTATTCATATTATCATCATAATTTTATCCTTATTACCCTTATTACTCTCCACATTGCAACTAACTGATCTCCGGTTTGGTAATGTGGCGGCTGCTAGTATCCAGAAACCCTACTGCCCCGAAAAAAACGTTTCATTCCAACCCCAAAACATACAAACAACCAAATGCCAACTGACTAGAATTAGACAGTCGAGTGGCTAGACCTCCATCCATTGGACATTACCGAACACCTGGAACCGCACCGAAAGAACAAAAATCGAGCGCGAAGAAATCAAGTTGGTTTACACTAGCTCGTGAAAAAGATATTGGATATTGGGACCAATTGATTTCTTCGCTCTTGATTCTTGTTCTTTCGGTACGGTTCCAGGTGTTTGGTAGTACACAATGAATGGGGGTGTAACCACTCGACTGTCTAATTTTAGGCAGTTGGTTATGAGTTTGTAAGTCCCATGAGAAAGCATTCCAAGTTGCATCGACTCTTAATGAGAACAAGTGTGCACGAACATGAGTATTTGCTGTTTGATGCATAATTTTTCGAGAGTCGCCTCGAGGGTGTGGTGGTGATGCATCGGTAAGGTGCTCACATTGGGATGGTTTGGCGTGCTGTGTATGTTGTACACCAAAAACAGATCACTTCTGATTCTTCTGTAGCTCAGGAAGAATACTTCAAAGTTCTGGAGTCTGTTGTCTAAAGTTCTATTTTTCAACGCTATCAACCGTTTCGTTGCTCATCACTGCTTTTGATCGAAGAGATTTGTGTCTCTGTCAGTTTGTCAGTCATTTGCAACTTAGAACTTCGTAATTAAATACATCAGTTCATGTTGACACACCACATTAGCACAGAGATGCAATTGTCAATTCAAATCCCATAGTGGTATTGATAGTAGGATTACTACTGGTAATGGAGAAGATTAGGGTTCGAAGATATTATTCAAGAAGTATAATTCAGTGAGGTAAGTTTAGAAAGACAAAGGTAAAGGTGTTGATGAATCCAGAAGATTAGGATTTGAGAGAACACAAAAAATGAATGCATCTGCGCCCTTGCAAGTGATTTTGAGCCATGTCGTTCAAGGTCTCTAACCATCGATTACTATTGTCTCGCGGACCCCAACCAGGTAGCCTACATCTACCAACATGACTCAGTCCACTTGTCAGTGGTTTTATGGACTTCTACTTTTGGTCTGGCCTCACCTAACTTTCTTCCAACCTATTCCTACATCACAAAACATAGCTCGACGAGGCAGTCGGTGGTTAGGCATGCGTCGTAACACACGTCCCAACCACCTCAACTGATGAAGTTTCAATACTTCATACATTGATCTGCCGTACTCACCTAGCACCCGTTTCCTAACAACAGCATTGCTTACTCGGTTGTCACATGATGCACGAGCAATGCTTCGGGGACACCTATGATCGAAAACCAGTAACCTACGAATATCTTCTCTGACTGGCCATGTTTCGCAGCCATAGGGTAGGATGGAGTGAACTGCTGCACAGTACACTCATCCTTTGGTTAACAAACGGATATCTCGTCTACGCCATAAATGACGTAAATTCGCAAAAGCCAATCGAGCTTTCTGTATCGGTGATGAGATTTCGTCAGTCACCAGGCAATCAGCACTGATGAGACTTCCGAGATAAGTAAACCGGTCGACACGCACAGCTACTTCACTCTCTATCACTAGTTCAGGTGCTGTTGCAAGCCAATCTAGAGGCAACATTTTGCATTTTGAGGGTGAGAACCGCATCTCAAACATGCTTGCATTGTTGCTTAGAGTAATCAAAAGACTGCATTTTGTCAGCGTCTTCACCGAGTAGAACTATGCCGTCAGCATAATCTAGGTCAGTAATCGATCCTCCTGGCAGAAGGTCCACCCCTGAAAAATTTGACGAGGATAATGTCAACTCTAAAAGGATGTCTACGACAAAGTTTAACAAGAATGGAGAGAATGGAATACTCTGACGGACACCACTTGATGTAGAGAATTCTAATGACAGTTCGTCATAGGCTCTCACTCGACCAGTGTTGTTCGAGTAGAGAGCCTGCATCAAGTTGATGTACTTCTTTGGTACACCTAATGACAGACACTGCCACAGAACCTCACTATCCACAGAGTCGAATACCGCCCTAAGGTACAGGAAGACAACTATTGTCGGACGTCTAAATGTGTTTCTGTGTTCCAGGACCTGTTATAGTGTGAGAACGTGGTCTATACAGCCACGTCCAGGTCTGAAACCAGCCTAGATTTCTCTAGTCTGCTCTTCACGAGCTCTAGTTAGGCGTCTATTTATAATCGAGACTAACAATTTAGAAACTATATTAGTCAGACTGATTCCCCTGTGATTGTCATAAGAGGACTTGTGTCCTTTCTTATGAATTGGGACAATCAGTGATTGAGACAAGTCGGATGGGATTACGTCCAGTTCCCAGATTCTACCTAAGATCTCGGTCAATCTAGTTGCTAAAGCTGGACCACCATCCTTAAATATCTCAGGGGTCAGTCTATCGTGTCCTGCAGCTCGCCCTCGCTTCAGATTCCCTATCGCTTTCTCAACTTCATAAAGAGTCAGACAACTTACATCGATTTGCCATTTAGGATGACTGGAGATCGTGGGTAACCGAAGTGTGGCTCGAGGCCAGTTGAACTGATCCCTGAAGTGTTCTGCCCATCGGTCCAGTCTCCTGGGTTGAGAATGAATGGTACGACCATCCTTTTCTGAGATAGTCTCACTCATTCGGGTTCCTAATACCGGTTTCTTTAACAAGGCGGAAAAGTTGCCTAGTATTGCCTATCGCCGATGCCTTTTCCATCACTTTTGCTTTCGCCACCCACCACTGTCTACCTTACTTACTTTCTTTCGCCTGTTACTCCCAATGGAGCATGGGCCGCCCACCAGTTTTCGCCAACCAACTCTGTACTGGGCTTCCCTTTCCAGTTCTGTCCAATATTTGTTCATTCCTCTCATATCTTTCTCTAATTCTCGGGGTAATGTGTTCCTTGGTCTTCCTCTTTTCCTTTTGCCTTGAGGGTTCCATTTGAGGGCTTGTTTCGTGACGCAGTTAGGTGCTTTTCGTTGTGTGTGTCCTATCCATTTCCACCGCTTCTTCCTGATTTCCTCCTCCACTGGAATCTGGTTTGTTCTCTCCCACAGTAGGTTGTTACTGATCGTGTCTGGCCAACGAATACGAAGTGATTTGCGTAGACAGCTGTTAATAAACACTTGTATCTTGTGGATGATGGCTTTGATAGTTCTCCAAGTTTCCGCTCCTGCCTACCTACTTGAGCATTAAAGCCACCAGCCGATAATACTATATCAGAGTTCCTAGAAAAAGCAGATCTAGTTTTTTATAGATGGACTTTCTTTTTGTTCGATTTTAGAATATTATTCATGAAACTAATGTCCTTTTCACATATTTTTTAAAATTTCATTTAATTTTCTATGTCAGTACAGAACTGTCGAAGTAGTTAGCTAATCTTTTTCTTTAATAACTTTTTTTACATCTAGACATGACTCTTGAAGATTTAATCAGTCCTATAATCTCCAATGAAAGCTTTTATAAATATATAAAACAAGGAGATTTATTTAATGGTAATCTTCCCCATAACCCTTTTTAATAATAATATACTGTTCCGTGTAGGTCCGTGTTTCAGAGCAACTGTTAGCAAATTATTAGGATATGGAATAGTTGTTGGTTCGTCACTTGGTAAGTGTTTCAATTCTCTGTAGTCAGTAATCTGTAATTTATGAAAAGTTAAAATTCCTCAAGTATTAAAAGTTGCGAAATGTCAAAATGCGTTTGGATTGAGTATAATCTCAATTTTACTTGAATTGATTTCCTTCACATCTTTAAGCGCATATTCATTTGTTAACGGATTCCCATTCAGGTAAACAAATATAAATATTATTTTTCTTCATATAAATTTTCATTGCTTACATATTGTTCATGTTAATTGACGCGTTTGAATAAAGTATGAAATAATTGTATCAAGAAGTGAGGAATGAAAAAGTTGAAACCTGAAGGTTGTGGCTAAAAACAACATGGAAAAAGTACATTTATATCATCCAAACCGTAGCTGCTACCTTGACGTGGTGGTTGGGCTTGCCTGTCGTGATGACCCAACCGATCTATATTGGCTGGAATATATGTTCTACCATGCCAGGTGGGTCGATTGGAGAACGATGAGACTAAAAGCAACTACTCAAGGTCTGAGGGCGAAGTCGTACTGCTGACTACAGAGAGGTGTGACAGCAGTAGGGTGTTTCCCTCGGACAACCAGCGTGTGCAATGATGCTGCCTTCTCACAAGGAAGGAAGGGTTAGAAAAGGTCGACCGTAAAAATGTCACACCTCACCCTGCCTCACGGATTTCCGTCTCCGTCGTTAAGAGTGCCCACTAAGGGCTTTTAAGAGCGGAGCTAATACTCAAAAAACCTTTTATAAAAAGGCCGTGCATGACCTGTCTCAAGCAGTTGTCCCTTGGACTATGCGGTCACACTCCCAGGTCTCTAATACCAAGACTAATCTATATTTTTTTTCAGGTCCCTCGAGAAACACCCTTCCACGGTGTGGGCAGCCGGGAGGGGACATCCGCCCTCATACCCGTAGCAGCACGAGAGACCCAATTGGTCGAAATCAAATCCTTCCTACACCCACACATACCTCTCTTCTCTCCACAACTAACTCTACTCACATTCCCTTATCTCACTGCACCGCCAATGCAAACGAAGCGAGTTCACGAAAGGTCATTCCTGATCTCTTGAAACCCCGTTCTAGACTACATGTTGGAGCTTTTAATGTACGGACATTGTGTCGAATAGGGCAACAGGCTTTAAAATCTCGTGCCATCGATGTATGCTGCGTCTCGGAAACGCGCACACAGGATCCTAGTTAAATCAGTAGTTTGGTTTCACCATGTTAAAATAAAGAAGCTGCCCGATTTACTCTTCGAGTATCTGGAAGCCCTAATGCTGCTTCCAGGGGTCTTGCTGGCGTAGGTATAGCATTGAGTCGTAGAGCTGAACAATCTCTCCTAGACTGGATCCCAGTAGATAGTCACTTGTACTCTGTCCGACTAAACGGGACAGTAAGGACTTGGAAGTATAGGGGCACTCTCCGTTGCCTCTTCGTTGTATCTGCCTATGCCCCCACTGACTGCAGTTCAGACGAGGTTAAAAATGAGTTTTACAGAAAGCTTTCGGACCTCGTCCGAAAAGCTAGGCGCTCTGATATAGTAATAATGGCTGGTGACTTAAATGCTCAAGTAGGTAGACTCAGTGAAAAGGGAACACATCTGGGTGGATCTTCGGTGTCGCGGCTAATAGAATAGATAATGGCGACTGTCTGTTGCAAATATGCTCAGATAACTGCCTATTCTTAGCAAACACTAACTTTAGGCATAAGGAAAAGCATCTCTTGACCTGGCGATCCCCGAAGTCGTCTCAACGTTGGACCCGACCAGATCACATCGCAATCAGCCACCGACGGAGGTTCGATAGAATACTGCCGCTCGTTCTAGGGCACATGTTTAGAGTCAGATTATGCCCTAGTTCGAGCGTGTATTTGTTTGAGGCTTATTGGACGTAGGGAAGACACAGTAAGGAAGCCTCATAGGGTTGTACTTAATGATAATAAAGCTAACAATATATTTCAAGAGCAACTAGAAAAACAGTTAGGCAACCGTGTAAGCGATTCCCATCCTGTAGCAGGTTGGAATGATATCCAAAAGGCTGTGGAAACAGCAGTGATATCTGCTAGTAAGGTAAACCATCAGGCTAGAATGAAGCCGTGGATCTCTGTAGCATCTACAGAACTGATGGATGCTCGAAAACTCATCCCACCTGGTTCTCAACACGATGAAGAGCGAAGTCAGCCCAAGCGCAGGCTGATAGAAAGTGTACGCAACGACCGCCAACAGTGGTGGGTGGCGAAAGCAAAAGTGATGGAAAAGGCATCGGCGATAGGCAACACTAGGCAACTTTTCCGCCTTATGAAAGAAACCGGTATTAGGAACCCGAATGAGTGAGACTATCTCAGAAAAGGATGGTCGTACCATTCATTCTCAACCCAGGAGACTGGACCGATGGGCAGAACACTTCAGGGATCAGTTCAACTGGCCTCGAGCCACACTTCGGTTACCCACGATCTCCAGTCATCCTAAATGGCAAATCGATGTAAGTTGTCTGACTCTTTATGAAGTTGAGAAAGCGATAGGGAATCTGAAGCGAGGGCGAGCTGCAGGACACGATAGACTGACCCCTGAGATATTTAAGGATGGTGGTCCAGCTTTAGCAACTAGATTGACCGAGATCTTAGGTAGAATCTGGGAACTGGACGTAATCCCATCCGACTTGTCTCAATCACTGATTGTCCCAATTCATAAGAAAGGACACAAGTCCTCTTATGACAATCACAGGGGAATCAGTCTGACTAATATAGTTTCTAAATTGTTAGTCTCGATTATAAATAGACGCCTAACTAGAGCTCGTGAAGAGCAGACTAGAGAAATCTAGGCTGGTTTCAGACCTGGACGTGGCTGTATAGACCACGTTCTCACACTATAACAGGTCCTGGAACACAGAAACACATTTAGACGTCCGACAATAGTTGTCTTCCTGTACCTTAGGGCGGTATTCGACTCTGTGGATAGTGAGGTTCTGTGGCAGTGTCTGTCATTAGGTGTACCAAAGAAGTACATCAACTTGATGCAGGCTCTCTACTCGAACAACACTGGTCGAGTGAGAGCCTATGACGAACTGTCATTAGAATTCTCTACATCAAGTGGTGTCCGTCAGAGTATTCCATTCTCTCCATTCTTGTTAAACTTTGTCGTAGACATCCTTTTAGAGTTGACATTATCCTCGTCAAATTTTTCAGGGGTGGACCTTCTGCCAGGAGGATCGATTACTGACCTAGATTATGCTGACGGCATAGTTCTACTCGGTGAAGACGCTGACAAAATGCAGTCTTTTGATTACTCTAAGCAACAATGCAAGCATGTTTGAGATGCGGTTCTCACCCTCAAAATGCAAAATGTTGCCTCTAGATTGGCTTGCAACAGCACCTGAACTAGTGATAGAGAGTGAAGTAGCTGTGCGTGTCGACCGGTTTACTTATCTCGGAAGTCTCATCAGTGCTGATTGCCTGGTGACTGACGAAATCTCATCACCGATACAGAAAGCTCGATTGGCTTTTGCGAATTTACGTCATTTATGGCGTAGACGAGATATCCGTTTGTTAACCAAAGGATGAGTGTACTGTGCAGCAGTTCACTCCATCCTACCCTATGGCTGCGAAACATGGCCAGTCAGAGAAGATATTCGTAGGTTACTGGTTTTCGATCATAGGTGTCCCCGAAGCATTGCTCGTGCATCATGTGACAACCGAGTAAGCAATGCTGTTGTTAGGAAACGGGTGCTAGGTGAGTACGGCAGATCAATGTATGAAGTATTGAAACTTCATCAGTTGAGGTGGTTGGGACGTGTGTTACGACGCATGCCTAACCACCGACTGCCTCGTCGAGCTATGTTTTGTGATGTAGGAATAGGTTGGAAGAAAGTTAGGTGAGGCCAGACCAAAAGTAGAAGTCCATAAAACCACTGACAAGTGGACTGAGTCATGTTGGTAGATGTAGGCTACCTGGTTGGGGTCCGCGAGACAATAGTAATCGATGGTTAGAGACCTTGAACGACATGGCTCAAAATCACTTGCAAGGGCGCAGATGCATTCATTTTTTGTGTTCTCTCAAATCCTAATCTTCTGGATTCATCAACACCTTTACCTTTGTCTTTCTAAACTTACCTCACTGAATTATACTTCTTGAATAATATCTTCGAACCCTAATCTTCTCCATTACCAGTAGTAATCCTACTATCAATACCACTATGGGATTTGAATTGACAATTGCATCTCTGTGCTAATGTGGTGTGTCAACATGAACTGATGTATTTAATTACGATGTTCTACGTTGATATTGATTGATTGATTGAGACATCTCTCTAGACATAATGTGCATAATGTCACTAGTAAGTAATCTACGATAGATGCACTAGGTTTATTGTTACTTTATTGATCACAGTTCCATACGTTTATGCTGAGGTCGCGTATTGGCTAAATGTGGATTCTAATTACCTGATAAATTCAGCACTGTCACAATGATTTTCATGTTGACATCTGTACGATCCACCAACCTTTACTGAATGTAAACCTTCATGTGATGTATAATTTGTATTCAAATACCAATAGTTTTTTTCATTCATCTTATATACTTGACTGTTTATTTGTTTAGTGCCTATGGGGAGGGAATCTTTTTATGTATACAAAATTTTCTCTTGGCTGTTATGGCGATAACTTGGACATATTCACGTGCTAAGGCTATCCTATTCTCCTGTGCTTACATAGCATGTGTAGCTGTTCTTTTGTTTCCGTCACTTCCATTATCAATATTGATATTGTTTCATACAGTCAACCTCCCAATCATGTTATCGTCTAAGGTAGTTAGTTAATTATTGATTAGATTTATTGTTTCTCTAAAATTATGCAATAATTATTTTCTGTGTTAGTCTCCTATTAAATTATTTATATCTCGGTAGTAGAAGTGATTTATTGAAAACTGTTTAATGGTACAATTGATTGCTTGTAATATTGATGATTCAGTACATGATGATCGTATTATTCACCAGACCAATAAATGTGGCTGTTTTTGATGTCGTTTAAAAAACTGATAACGAGAAATCTGAAACAATGAAAACTTACAGAATTGAGCAGTTTAAATGACATTTTGTATAGTTTTTTTTAGTCGTATTCTAAATTCTAATTCATATTCACTGACACACTGACTATTCTGGTCAGAAGAGGAGTGTGTCTCACAACTTTTAGCAACAATCAGATCACAGTACGACAACATCTAATGTTTGTATGAGTCGTGCTGGCAGGTACAAACATCGTGATTTATAATTGAAGATCATTAATGATGTATTTCAGAATCAATGAAAAAGATGAGTTCATTGTTTCTACTTTTTTTAAATTTTAATTTCTGATCTTATTTAATAAATTTCATGAGTTACTTTTGAATAGTAGTTTAAATTGGGGCATATTTTTACCTAGGTCTTAGATTATTTCTCAATGATTGAAGTGTATCAACTAATCTAATACTTAATTTAGAAGATTGAAGCCTTATAGTTTAAGCTGAATAATATGTAAAGTTAATTGAATACGGTTTGCTTCACCTATCAACTTGTCGAATTCTTCAACTGAAATAGTTTATATTATTTTGTAACTGTTAGCAATGAAGTACTTAACATACATTTCTCCTGTTTTAAACTCATCGGCTTAACACATCGACGATTCATACTAAACGTTAATCAGTCATTATAAAAGTAGAACTTAGCACAAATATGCATTAAATCAGTTCACTATACTGAACAGCATAATGTAAATAAATTAACAAAGTGAATGCTAACCGAAACAGTCAAAATCATTGTAGTAGTAACGATATTGAGAATGTGGTTTGAAACGAGAACGTGTATAGATAAATATTGAAACTCAGTATTTAAGGAAAGATATCTAGCAAATGGATGTTTACCATTTCTACCGACTGTGAACCATGTTACTAAACATCCTTCACCACTAGTTAGGATTATTGAACGAACCTCAAGAAGATAGTCCGCACCGACACACATCATTCTACTCGAATAATAATAATAATATTAATAAATCAATCCACCCACTAGGTATTTGGGTATGAGTCATTCTCTAAATGTAAGGGATAATGATACTACCTGGTCACTAGAACAGAAGTAGGTGGTAGAGTTAAAACCCTAAACTAAGTGGTTGAAAGGCGAATGACCTAACTACCAAGCCATTGCTCCAATAATTTCATAGATTGTCCCCACGTCTTTGTCTATCCACTTTGCTTACTCCGTCACAATTCGATGAAACACGAAGAATGCTTCAAAGACGCTTATGGTCAAAAACCTGCGATTTCACGTTTTCCACTTGCACAGACCATTTTTCACATTATTAGAGTTATAGAGAGCAGACTGCTTGTCAGTACACCACAAGCAACTCAAGTTGGTAAAAGGCAAGTGAGGTTTTTGTATACCTAGGTACATGTGTACATCACCCTACTAGCACTGATCAAACTTTCAAGGTAATTGTGGTAGTCGACACCCAAATATCTTACTTTCTATAATCAACCTATGAGATGATACATACCAATTTTGAAGCAGAATTTTGCTTTTAGGGTAGGAGAAACGCATATAAAACGTTTTGGATTGTTGCTAATGGTATTGAAGAGACTCTAAATTATGTTATTGTTTTTACAAAATGGGACTATGTCATGTACGTACTCCATGTTGATTTATCATTTTTCAATCCTTTAAAGTTGAAGAAAGTGTTATTTTCTTAAACGAAATTTCATTAAATAAAAAGAGAATTATAAGTCATATTCACACATCCATTACTTCGAATTTCAAAATGTTATTCATTACGATGTCAAGTTATGATATCTATTTTTTTGTACAGTAAACATTAACATTGTCTTTATACAATTATTCCATTAATTTACTGAACAAAAAAGAATAACCTGATCTAGTACGTTAACTTCTCTATATTGATACGATAATTTTATCATGGATCACATTCTCATTATGTTTTCCGAAATGACATTTGACTGATGTTAGAATGCATTGATCAGTTGGTTTTTGCTATTTTATGCTACTTAACCTAAATGGTACAAGATAAAAAACCAATATACACCTTCTGTGTCATAGTCTCACCTAAACTTTTGACCAAGTGTTATCAATAAATCTAGCCATGTTGGTATAGAACGTCAATAATGTTAAGGGGATCAGTGTGAGGATCCCCGTGAACGCCCTTTTACTTCCGTTTCTAGATGTGTCTTGATGATAAGTATCAAATCCACGAAACTGGGACTAGTCATGCATTTTTAGGTAATGAATCTTAATACTTGTGTGTAGTGGAATATCATTTATACGCTTTTCTGTCTCGTTGACAGAGTTCTAAACAGTTGTCCAAGTTACTATAATTTTCTGCTTAATTTTCAGACTGCTCAAATATGGACAAATTATTGTAATGGGAGTACAGGTCAATTATCAGCTATTACAATATTCCTGTTTGCCTTAGGTTCAACTGCACGTATATTTACATCGATTCAAGAAACTGGCGATCGTCTAATGATTACATCGGGTATTCTAGCTAGTATGTGTAATTACATGTTAATGGGTCAATTATTTTATTATTGGAATGTGCCATCTGTTTCTGCTACTGAACGACGACAATATCTAACACGAAAATCCAAATTGAATTAGTTTTACGCTCTTTTGTGTTATTGTTACTGTTATCATTGCCGTTTGTTATATCGATTTGAAGTAAAAAAAGTTCCACGTATTTTTGATTTTATTCCGTTATTGTTTCAGCTTGTTATTTATTTTTTATTGTTCCCATGACTGAAGGTATCTAATAAAGATTTTTATAGCTGCTAAATTACTGGCTAATTCGTAGTTCCTTTTTGATTATAATGCGAATTCATGACCAATATATGTAGGTTTTGACAATTAGTTTTGATAAAAATCGTAATCTCGTTAAGTTGTAAGGATGTTTATCGACTAATGTTAAGGATCACAGTGCATAACACGTTAAGGGTTTGAGACGAAAGGTACTGGTTTCGTGTTGCAGTGTTACTATCAACAAGTACACTTAGCTGATGAGTCCTAAGAGTGGGACAAGACGAACACACTAGATTCGGCTACTAACCACAATTCAGTGTGACTAAAATAATCTTATTATTCAATGGTATATATTCGGGTACAATAGTAAGGTGTTCTCAGCATTAAACCATTAGAATATATTTCAGAAAATTCATTTGTCCTGCATTTTATTTAGTGTGTTATACAAAATGTTTTGAAAGAAGCCATTGCGAAATTGATCTTCAGTAGTTAAAGATTTAGACTTCTTTCACCAATTATTTCAATGTGTGATAATTACTTACGCCTGTTACCCCCAATGGAGCATAGGCCGCCCACCAGTTTCCTCCAAGCAACTCTGTACTGGGCTTCCCTTTCCAGTTCTGTCCAATATTTGTTCATTCCTCTCATATCTTTCTCTATTTCTCGGCGTAATGTATTCTTTGGCCTTCCTCTTTTCCTTGAGGGTTCCATTTGAGGGCTTGTCTCGTGACGCAGTTAGGTGCTTTTCGTTGTGTGTGTCCTATCCATTTCCACCGCTTCTTCCTGATTTCCTCCTCCACTGGAATCTGGTTTGTTCTCTCCCACAGTAGGTTGTTACTGATCGTGTCTGGCCAACGAATACGAAGTGATTTGCGTAGACAACTGTTAATAAACACTTGTATCTTGTGGATGATGGCTTTGATAGTTCTCCAAGTTTCTACCCCATACACTAGAACTGTCTTGATATTTGTATTGGAAATCCTGATTTTGGTGTTGATTGATATGTGTTTCGAGTTCCAGATATTTTTCAATCGTAGAAATGCAGTCCTTGCTTTGCCAATCCGCGCCCTCACATCTGATCCGATCCACCTTTCTCGTCGATGACGCTGCCAAGCTATGTAAAGGTGTTAACGTCCTCGAAAGCATTTCCATCAAGAGTGATTTGGTTGGTGCAGGTTGTGTTGCATCGGAGAATTTTGCTTTTCCCTTTGTGTATGTTGAGACCTGCTGCTTCAGAGGTTACTGCGACACTGGTCGTCTTCCCTTGCATTTGTTGTTGCGTGTGCAATAGAAGAGTCAGGTCATCTGCGAAGTCCAGATCATCCATCTGCATCCTGGCTGTGCATTTGATACCGTGCTTCCCTCCAGCTGTCGACGTCTTCATAATCCAGTCGATGACTAGGAGAAAGAGAAAAGGTGAGAGTAAGCAACCTTGCCTGACACCGGTCTTCACCTCGAACGAGTCTGTTAGCTATCCTTCGTGTACGATTTTGCAGTTGAATCCATCATAAGAATTTCGTATGATGTTAACTATTTTCTCAGGCACACCGTAATGTCTCGAAGTTGGGCGTCTACGAAGTCTTTCATTCTGTTTAACAATACCCTGTTGAAGACTGCCCGCTATGGCTAGAAGAGTGATGCCTCTGTAGTCCTCACACTTGCTGAGATCGCCTTTCTTTGGTATTTTGATCAGGTATCCTTCTTTTCAGTCTGATGATACTTGTTCTTCATCCTAAATCTTGTTGAATACAATGTGAAGTATTTTTGTCTTTGATTCGACGTCTGCTTTCATTGCCTCTACTGTAATGTTTTCAGGTACTGCTGCTGCTTTGCCGCCCTTGATTTGTCTGATGGCCATGTTGATCTCTTCAATTGTAGGTGCGCCAACATCGATTGGGAGGTCCGTAGATGCTGCTTCGATGTTGGGTGGGTTCAGTGGAGCTGGTCGGTTCAATAGTTCCGTAAAGTGCTCTACCCACCTATTTCGCTGTTCTTCAGTGTTGCTCCCCTCTTTGCTTTTCACTGGTCGTTCTGGTTTACGATGGTTTTCAGCGAGCTTCTTTGTTGTTCCTTACAATTGTCTCATGTTTCCTTCTCTTGCGGCCTTCTATGCCGTGATTACTAGATCTTCCACATATTTTCGTTTGTTGGCTCTGATGCTCTTCTTCACTTGCCTGTTTGCTTCTGTGTATTCAGCTTGTGTCTTAACTTTGTCTGCTCTTGTTTGGCTGACATTGACTACTGCCTTCTTGTTCCTCCTTTCCTCAATTTCTTCAGGAGTACCAACAGAGATCCATTCCTTGTGATGGTACATCTTGTGACCCAGAACTTCGTGTCATGTTGAAGTGATTGCCTCCTTGATCCCTTTCCAATTGTTCTCCAAGGTTTTTTCACCGACATTGAGTAGATCCTGCAAGCCTGTTGAGTGCCATCTTGAATTCGTTGAGTTTTACGATATCCCGAAGAAACGCCGTACTAAACTTCTGTGAAGTTGTCTGCCTCGTTGTCAAATGTTTCTGTAGTTTCAGTTTCATTTTGACGACCAGCAAGTGGTGATAGTGTGGTCCGGTGAAATCCATGTGGCTTTATGAATGCGTTTGTGCGGGAATATTGTGCCACCGATGACCAGTTTGTTGAAGGCACATAGGTTTGCAAATCTCTCACCGTTTTCGTTCCTTTCTCCCAGTCCATGTCGTCCCATGATGTCTTCATATCCAGTGTTGTCCATGCCAACCTTGGCATTTAGGTCTCCCATCAGAATGGTCAAATCCTTTGGTGAGCATCTGTCGACGATTGACTGCAGCCTTTCGTTTAATTGATCTTTAACGTCGTCATTGTAGTCATTGGTAGGTGCATAACATTGGATGACGTTCATTGTAATGTCCTGTTTCTTTGTTTTGAAAGATGTTTTTATGATTGTATGTCTATGAGATTCCCATCCCATTAGTGCCTTTTGTGCATGTTTGGACAGCATCAGTGCAACTCCTTGTGTATGTGAAGCATTTTCCTCTTCATGTCCAGAGTATAACAGCAGTTCTCCTGAAGCTAGTCTCAGTTGTCCTACCTGTGTCCAATGTGTTTCACTGATGCCGAGCACCTCGAGGTTGTATGATTTCATTTCTGCCGCAACTTGAAATAGTCTTCCATTCTCCCACAATGTACGAACGTTCCATGTGCCTAAAATAATGGTTGCTCTGGTTGTCAGAAGAGGAATCGGCCCCGTGACTTCCGAGGGAACTCGGCTTTCATCATGGGACGTTATAATTCTTCTTCCAACTCCCGGGACAGAGTTAAAATGGTTTGGATTATTTTTTCTTGTTAGCGCTTTTTTGGCAAGTTTGTTTTATAGTAGGGATAGGGTCGCCAACTCCATGTGTAACCCCTCCTCCTTTATCCGGGCTTGGGACCGGCAGTAGCCCCGTATTTTATACTGGCGGAGTTAATGTGTGATAATAATGTATGTTAAATAAAGTATTATAGGGTATTTGTGTTTCACCTTGGATAGATAAGTTTTATTCGTATATACTCATGTTCTGTCAGAGAGACTGGACGTAATGAAACCAACATTTAGCTTAATGTGTTAGGTGATTGTAGGCATGTTATGGGAGCTTGGGTGTAATCAATTCAGTTTATAAAGACGGTTGCCGGCTCACAGCACTTGCAGCTCACGGAAGATATCACTCTACCAACCAATAAGTGAGTTTACTGCACCGCTCTACTTTATCGATGAGAAACATGACCTTTAGGAAAAGAGGATATTCGTAGGTTGCTAGTAATATAACTCCCCTGAAGCTCTTCTAGGGTTACTGCTGGTCTCAAGTCCGGGTTGGGCATTGGCTTCGCAACCGCATCCCGTCTTGCATGATAGTTTAGCGAAATTAAATTGTAGGGCATTCTACGCAGCCATTCTCGAGTTGACCAGTGACATCTACTCAAACAGGATAAGTTAACTGAATCTGCCTGCTCAATGTGTATTTTCGAATTCAGCTGCCGCTGTGTAGATAGCGTCATTGGGCGTACTACCAGGCAACTTAATGAACGAATGAGTGAACATCTCGCAGCATGGTTTAGAAAGGGCCAGATGAAAGCATTACGCAGTCCTGTCTCGGCACATCTGATTAATAACGGTCATAAAATGTAGATATATCTGGATCATTTCGAGTGGTCTATCGTAAACCTCCATCATTTCTCAACGGAGTTCTATCTCGTTTCTTACATATGGCGAATCAGAACATTCAATCCTAATTTATGTGTTCGGAAGAAATTCGTGACACTCTTGGCCGGATAAAACTTAACAAATGATTTTAAATTTTTGTTATCACTAGCATTATTGTAAAATTTCATCCACGCTTCGTCATTATCAACAGTGTATTAAACAACTAGATGGGATTTCTAAGGAATGTATTTTCAAACAAATTTTCGAGCTATTTATTCAATGCTCATTTTAATAATTTATACATAAAAGATGGAGTATATTAATTCATTGACGAGACAGAATTGTGCTTGAAACAGTGAACCGCTTGTTTCTAAAGTATGAAGTCACCGATTCAGGCTGTTTTACATTCTATGTTGCTATCAAGTTAAATTCGTTCATTCCAACTCACTTATGGAGTGAAATTTGATGTACAAATTTTCGTATGACAACTAGCTGTATTATCTTATTAACAAAACCAATACTGTTAAAAGTTGTGATGGAATTTCGTTCTCTGAGCTGCATGTTATGTTCGTGGAGGTTTTATTGTTCTTCTGGACAACATCATCAGCACAAACTGCATATAAAATTCGAATGTGCTATCCTCATAAGTCACTATTCCATTGAAATTATTTGAAAGAGGACAATGCTATTGATTTCAAATTTTGGT